GTGGGCAGCGTTTGACAGCATCCCTGGGGGGTCTGCAGAGATCAGGACCCCCAAAACCTTTCACAGACACCTCAAGCCTCTCCAAGGACCCTCCCAGTCTCTCCCAGCCCATCCAGGACATTCTGAAACCTCCTTGGGAGTCACTTATTTTAAAAAATGATGAATTAGAGAAAAATTGGAGATGTCAGCTAGAGACAGGCCTTGTTGGAAGTAGTTCGAGTTAATGATGAAGTGAGAAGCAGGATTTGAGATAATGAATCTCAATGAGAAAAGAGAAACTGATAAACAGGTTCAGGAAGATCACAGACCATACATCTGGAAACCCATTTCCAAGTCACAAGGGAGGAAACTGGAGTTGTACCAAATGTCATTTGTAATGTCAACCATTGTAAAGGTAGAAAGGTGAGAGTGAGGAAGAACGGTTTTCCTTCATCTCTTGATGACTCCTCCTCACCAAAATGACCTCCTCTTCAAATTAGGGAGCCCACCACGCAGGCGTAGTGACATTTTAAACTCATTACCATGAATTTTAGTCTGAAGTGGAGCATGGGAGGTGTTAAGCATTAGGAATATGTATTAGTATTAATATGTATTAATATTTTGGATATTCAAGACTTCTGTAAATAGACACTGGAATCTTTTTTCAACTTGCAGTGCATATTAAGGGGATGACTCCTGCACTCACCCAGTGCTGTGATTAAACATCCACTTTGTAACTTTAAACTGTTGGAGAGTATTTTTGTCCATTAACAGATTGATGTTGATACTGGATTGTTGCCGCCAATTTGTTTAGTTTTATTAAGTTCAGAGTTGGTTTATCCCAGTTGCTCCCCCGTTATCCAAAATGGTTTGTCCCCAGTTGCCCATCATTGTAAACCCTTCCCTTTTTCCAGATTGTTCCCCATCCATCACCCCAATCCTGCCCCCGAGTCCTATCAATCTATGTAAACCCCACCTTTTGTTCCAGTTCTTTCCCTGCCTATCATGCCTTCCTTTACGCCCTATTGATTGTACAACTGCCTTCCCTCCCCCGGGTCCCTGCCATTGGTTCTGCGTATTGTAATCCCCACCCACAACTCCTCCCCTGCTGCTGTCCCATTGGTCGCTGTATGGGCCGCCCACAGTCCTTAAACCTGGCGCAGGGCGGTGCCCAGTGTTCTCGGCTCAGACCTCTTCCCTTCAATTCCGGCCCGTACCTTGTCTCCTTCCCCTACACCTGTTGGAATAAACTTGTTTCTGGGAAATTGGGAGAGCCTGAGCACTCTTTCTCCCTTTGCCACAACCCGTGTCGCCCTGTGAGCTATAACGCCAGAGCGCAGAGGAGCTCTGGAGGTTCCAGGTTGAGCCACGCAGTGCTCGCCTGGTTCCCCACTCCTGCCGCTGCCGTCGGCCAGAACTAGCCGAGGCGTGAAGGGGCGAGCGGGCAGCGACAGCGGATCAATATTGCTATTTTGGTAAATCGCTCCCAGTCTCTTCCCAGCCTCCCCAGGATCCACCAGAGCCCCTCCTGTTCCTCTCAGGATCCCACAGCCCCCTCCCGATTTCTCCCCATTGCCCCAGGACCCCCAAACCCTCTCCCAGTCCCTTCCCAGCCCCACCAGGACTCATCAAGACTCCTCCCAGTCTCTTCCCAGCACAACCAACCTCATCCCAATCCCTGTTTTCCAATCTCCTTCCAGCTCCTCCAGGCTCACTCAAATCCCTCCCTGTGACACCCAGCACCCCCAAACTCCCTCCCAGTTTCCACCAGGAACGCCAGAACCCCATCTCACCCTCCTCAGCATCCTTCAAACCCCTTCCCAGCCATTCTTGACCCCCAAACCCCTCTCCCAGTTTAAACCAGTCTGTCTCAAACTCCCTCCCAGTTCCTCCCAGCACACCCCAATCCCCCTCTGGGCCCCCCCAGTGCCTCCCCCGCTGCCCCCGGCGCTGTGGGGGCCGGGCCGTGCCCCAGTGCCGGCTCAGGGGGTGCTCCAGGCTGCCGTGCTCCACCTGGCAGCTGGAGCTGAGCCCGCATTGCCGGGGGCGGTTTCCAGCAGCACCAGGAGCTGCTGGCTCCAGTCCCCGCTGGGGAGCACGGCAGTGGCCAGCACGTGGCCCGAGAGCTGCTGCTGGCCCTGGGAGCAGCTCAGCTGGATGTGGGCAGGGGAGAAATCCATCAGGGAGCAGAGCAGGCGGCCGGGGCCGGGCTGGGAGCTGGAGGGCACCAGAGAGATGGACACGCTGGGATGGGCAGTGGGGATCAGCGGGGACAGACTGGGATGAACTTGGGGGGTAACTGGGAGAGATGGGAGAGGAGTGGTGTGGGGTCGGGTGGGACCGGGAACAGGCTGTCAGGGACTGGGGAGGCGCTGAAAGAGATGAGAGTGGATACTGGGACACTGGATGAAGGCGCAGATGTCTGGGAGTGGAAGGAGGAGAAAGGGGGAGAGAGGAGAGGGAAAGGTGGGGCTGGGATGAAAGAAACGTGGTTCCCTGTCCCGCAGCACTCGAT